AATTTTTTGCTTTCCCTGGCAAAAAATCCGACTTGAATTAAATCCCCCTGCTTTCCAAATCGATGCTGAATTCCTGGAATAATTTGATTCCAGAGAGGGATGGGATTTGGAACAATCTGGACCTCAGAAAAGGGCGGGACTGGATAAGCTTTAAGGTCGCTCCCCATCCAACTTTTTCCATGGGATTTTTGCGTTTCTTTCTTTCCGTGCCCGCCTCCAGTGTGATCCCTACGTGAAGATTTCCGTGGGAAAGAARTCCATAAACGACCAGGAAAATTACCTTCCCTGCACTCTGGAGCCCGTCTTCGGGAAGTAAGTGCTGATTCCGTTTGGGATCCACGGAATTTTTTTGGGTGTCTGATTGAGGGAATTGTGCTCACTTCCTGTTCTGACGCCCAATTCCAGGTTGGAGAAATCTGGGATAATGGAAGCATCCCTACCCATGGAAGGGATTGGGAGTGGGATGGATTTTAAGATTCCACCCAAAGCATCCCATGATTCCCCTGGCTCTCATTCGTCATTCCCTGGGATTTCTCTGGAGCCTGGGTTGGCTCGGCTTGGTTGGACTTGGAATTCCATAGTGGGAGAATCTGGGAAGAGTTGGACAATGGGGCTTGGATCCACCTGGGATCAGGGAAAGTATGGAATCAGAAGATCTTTAAGGTCTTTAGGGTCTTCCAATCCTAATAATTCCACAATTCCATGAATCCTTGATAACCCAAGCCACCACCACACAGCCCTGGCGCTGCTGGAAGTTCAACGATCCATCCCAATGCTGGTGGGTCGGGATGGGGCGTTGATCCATTCCCATGGAATTCCAGCAGCACAATCCCCTTTTCCCAAGCTTTTCCCACTCTCCCGTTCCCAGGATGTTCGAGCTGAGCTGCACCCTGCCCCTGGAGAAGGACCTCAAGGTTGCCCTCTACGACTACGACCTCCTGTCCCGGGATGAGAAGATCGGCGAGACCGTGGTGGACCTGGAGAACCGCTTCCTGTCCGGCCAYGGAGCGCGCTGCGGCCTCCCCCAGACCTACTGCGTGTGGGTACCGCCATGGGATTGGAATGGCCCTGGATTCCGGCATCGGGGTGCTGAAGGGACACGGGATCATGGCAYGGTTTGATCCTGCCCGGAGCTGCGATTCCCAGAGTCCTGGTTCTCCTCTGGGAGACATCGATGTGCTCAGGGAGATCCYGTTCMRTCCSTGGTGTYCCCCYGGAGAAGCTGTGGCTGCTCCATCSYGGGAAAGGGGAGCTTAGGGTGGGATTTTGGGAAGGAATTCCTGCCTGRGAGGGTGGCGAGGGGYTGGGCTGGAATTGCCAGATTGCCCCGGATCCCTGGGAATGTCCGAGGCCAGGCTGGACATTGGGGCTGGGAGCAGCCTGGGATGGTGGGAGGTGTCCCTGGGTGACCATGGGTGACCATGGATGATCTTCAACCATTCCCACAATTCTGTTCGGTTCCAGCTCCGGCCCCAACCAGTGGCGGGACCAGCTCCGCCCTTCCCAGCTGCTCCAGCTCTTCTCCCTGCAGCACAACTGCAAAGCTCCCACCTACAAACCCGACCGGCTCATCTTCCGCGATCAGGAGTACCTCCTCTCCGAGCTGGGTAAGGCGCCAGGGATGGTTTGGGATGGTGGAATTCTCCTTATCCAGAGGGGTGATGGAGCTGTTTGTCATGGAGACATCACCAGGGCTGGACAATGGGATTGTCCCCATCCTCCTCCTCGCTGTCGCCCTCAGCTCTGGACCATTCCCAAACTTGGCCCATGCCCCAAATCCTGGGATTGGGTCCAGATCTCCCATCCATCAACCTTGACCTGGACCAAATCCCTGGACTGGGAGCTCCATTGTGTTGGAAGCTCCAAGCTCCAAGTTTGCAGAGACACCATGGGACAGGATATTGTGGAATTCGGGACTGGACAATGGGATTGTCCTCATCCTACTTCTCCATGTCTGCTCTGAACCATTCCCAAATTTGGCCATGCTCCAAATCCTGGGATTGGGTCCAGATCTTCCATCCATCAACTGTGACTTGGACCAAACCCATGGATTGGGAGCTCCATAGTGGCTGGGAAGCTCCAAGCTGGTGTTCCAAGAGCATGGAGACACTATGGGGAGGGATATTGGAATTCAGGACTGGACAATGGGAATTATCCCCATCCTCCTTCTCACTGTCCATGCTGGTTCTGTCCTTTTCCCAAACTGAGCCGTGCCCCAAATCCTGGGATTGGAGATTTTCCATCCAGGAATGCTGACCTTGAGTTTGACCCAACCCAACCCTCATGGATTGGGATCGAGGAGCTCCAACCCGATGTTCCAGCTGCTTCCAGGGCTGGAAGAGCTCTGTGCTGGAATCTCATTTTGGGAACGGTCACTAGAGGGAGACAACACCCCACGCACAGACCTGGGAATTCTGTCAGGATTTGGGAGGATCGGGGGAAAAACCCAACTTCTGTCAGTGAGGGGAAAAATCCTGGAATTTTGGGAAGGAGGTTTTTATTTTCACAGAAGTCACACCAGCAGTGATGCTTTTGTACCCTGGGTGCCTCCGTCTGGCCCAGCATTCCTGGAGCAGGAATTGCCTTTTTTTAGGGAAAACTTCGCTTTAAGCCACAAAAACAGGGTTTTTGTTTGGAGGAGATGAAATCCCACCGAGCCCGGAGCTGCAGTTTGGGATTCACGGAATGGTTTGGGATGGAAGGACCTTAAGGATCATCCATTCCCACCCCATCCATGGACAGGGACCCCTCCCACTATCCCAGGCTGCTCCCAGCCCCAATGTCCAGCCTGGCCTTGGGCATTCCCAGGGATCCGGGGCAATCTGGCATTTCCAGCCCAGCCCCTCGCCACCCTCCCAGCCATGAATTCCTTCCCAAATTCCCACCTAAATTTTGATCAGATTTTACTGAGGCTGCCACATCAACGGCATCACCAGAGACCCAAACCCAGAAAACCCAGGACCGATCCCACTCCCTTCTCTCCGGGAAACAAACCCCAAATTCCCTAGGAATCCAGATATTTCCCCAAAGGGAAGGGAAGGAATCCTCAGCAGCCTCTCCTCACCAAAAATTTTTCCAGGGAGAGCCGGGGAGGTGTTAAAATGCGTCCCCACCCCGTTCAAAGAGCCAAACGAATCCCGGAGCGGGTCTGGGATCCAGCTGTGAGCTTGAGCCGGACCGGGAATAAACCGGAGCCGTTAAACGCCAGAGCTGCGGTTTTACAACCCGGCCCAGTATTCCATAACTCCTGGATTTGTTGTTCTCAAAGAGGGGCTCGTTGTTTTCCCGGTGTTTGATTCCTGGGATTGGGAAATAGTTGGGAATTAGCGCAGCCGGCTGGAGTTAAGTGCTCCAAGGCCTTGCTGAGGAAGGAGCTGGGATATCTCACCTGGGTTTGGAGGAGTTGGGATAATATTTATGGACCACTTCTTATTTCAAAGGTCCAGGAAGGCATGTGGCTGGAGTGGGGTGAAGCTTGGGATTTTGGGATCATTTGGATTGGATTCAGAGAATAATGGAATCTTTTAGGTGGGAAAAGATTTTGGGATTGTTTTGGATTTGGAGGATCAGGGAACCTTTTAGGTGAAAAAGATTTTGGATCATTTGGGTTGAATTCAGAGAATCAGAGAATCTTTTAGGTCAGAAAAGATGTTGGGATCATTTTGAGTTGGATTTGGAGGATCGGGGAATCTTTTAGGGGGGAAAAGGTTTTGGGATTGTTTGGGTTGGAGTCAGAGAATGAGGGATTCTTTTAGATTGGAAAAATTTTGGGATCGTTTGAGTTGGATTTGGAGAATCACAGAGTTTTTTAGGTTGTGAAAGATTTTGGGATCATTTAGGTTGGAGTCAGAGAATCAGGGATTCTTTTAGATTGGAAAAATTTTGGGATCATTTGAGTTGGATTTGGAGGATCAGGGAATCTTCTATTTTGGAAAATCCAACATCTTGGAGATCCTGGAATTCCWTAATTCAGGTTGGAAAAGTCCTCCAAGATGGCATCCAACTATTGTCCAAGTTTCATGTCCAGCATTTTCTTGGACACCTCCATGGATTTGACTGGGAGGAGAAGGGAGAAATGTCCATTTTTTGGGAATTTTGACCCATTTCTGGCAGGATCAGGGGCTGGTGTGGAGTGGATGAGGAGGAGGAGGAGATAATTCCAGGTTTTCCGTGGATGGAGGACCACGGATGTCCTGGTGGGGCTGGAGCAGGAGCTTGGAGCAGCCCCCAGGCTGCGCTGGTGGTGTCTCCGTGTCCTTCCTCCTCCTCCCATTCCCAAATCCCAAAGATTTCACCCCAAATCCTGCACAGATGAAATGGGATTCCACCGGGAATGCCCAGCTGAAAATCCCGGATGCGTTTAAACTCTGGGATGAACTCTTGGGAATGGGAACATCAGCTGGGGRTTGATGGGAATCCTGATTTCCGGGACTTTGGGACACCCGGATCCCGGAATGGGATCGATCATTGGGATCCTCCTTCCCGTGGGCTCCAGCTGGATCCTGACCCCATTTCCCTGGCTGGGATTTGTGGGGTGGTTGCAGGGGGATCCCAGTGGGTTTTCCCATTGGGAATGGGATTCCYRTGCYYGGGAAGTGATGGATTTGGGAATTGYGGCCGTACCACTCCGGCTCTCCCTGGCTGGACCTGTGGGGTGTCCAAAATCCATCCCTGTGGGACAAACCCCATTAATTTCCCTCYGGCAGAGGACGGAAAACCCCCGAACCCACACCTGGGGCCGGTGGAGGAGCGGCTGGCCCTGGCTGCCCTCCGGAAGCAGGGATTGGTCCCGGAGCACGTGGAGACGCGGCGGCTCTACAGCCCGCTCCAGCCGGACATTGAGCAGGTGGGCAGGGAATGTTCCGGATCCAGCCGTATTCCTGCCAGGAATGGCCGCCCCGGGATATGGGATGTTCCCAGGGAGGGGAGGCAGTCATTCCCTGCGGCATTTAATTCAATTTTTTAAATTTATTTTAATTTAATTCTATTGAATTTTGCATTTTTTGGTCTAAAAGTTCTGGTGGAGAATTCTTCTCCCAGAGTCCTGGGATCCCTGAGGTTGAAAAATTCCTTTGGGATCATTGAGTCCCAGCTGTGCCCGATTCCCATATTGTCCCCACATCCAGGAGTTCCTTGGACACTTCCAGGGATGGCAATCTCAAACCTCCCTGGGCACTTCCGAGGCCTGACCACCCTTTCCATGAGGAAATTCCTGCTGATGTCCCCCCTGAGCCTCCCCTGGCCCAGCCTGAGGCTGTTCCCTCTCTTCCTGCTGTTTCCTGGGATCAGATCCCAAATCCCACCTGGCTCCAAATTTTCAGGGAGTTGTGCAGAAGGTCTCCCCAATCCCTTTTTTCCAGGCCGAGCCTCTTTCCCAGCTCCCTCAGCTTTTCCTGGTTTTCCAGCCCCATTCCCAGTCCCCTCAGCTGCTCCTTGTAGGATTTCCATCCACCAGCTCATTCCCAACGATCCCAAAAATAATTTTAATACAATATTTAGCTCTGCTTTTCCATTGAGGAATCCTTCCCTCCCACCTGAGGATTCCAGTTCTCCCTGGGGATGTCCCATTCTGGAATCTCCCGAGGTTTCAGGCTCTGTTTTTCCACGCAGGGAAAGCTCCAGATGTGGGTGGATCTGTTTCCCAAATCCCTGGGACACCCCGGCCCCCCTTTCAACGTCACCCCGCGCAAAGCCAAGAGGTAACTTCCTGCTTTTTCCAGAATTTTTCCTTGGGAAGGGATTTGGGAATGCTCGGGTGGGGATGGGTTCCCACAGGTGTGGGATCATCTCCAGGGAAAAGGAGATCCCACAGGGAAATCCCTTGGCGGGACAGCCGGGCTTCCAGGGGGATGAGTTTCCCGCCTTCTCCCGGTTTTATTCCTGGGGTTTTCCAGGTTCTACCTGCGCTGCATCATCTGGAATGCCAAGGACGTGATCCTGGATGACCTCAGCATCACCGGGGAGAAGATGAGCGACATCTACGTCAAAGGGTGGGTGTCCCGGATTCCGGAGGGTCCCCAGTTTCGGAGCCAGGAGATGTGGGAGTGGCAGGGAAGGAATTAAGGCGGTTCTGGGATCAGCATTTGTGGGGTAGATGTGGATTGTGATGGGATGTAGGGATTGTCACAACTCTCTGATTATGGATTCGTGGCTTTGCAACTTTGGATCTGCATCTTTCCATCCATGGATCCACTTTTTTCCAACTATGGATTCATGTTTTTCCAACTGTGGATCCACATTTTTCCAACTATGGATTCACATTTTCCAACAATGGATCCTCATCTCTCCAACTATGGATCTACATCTCCAAACATGGGTCCACACCTCTCCAACCATGGATCCAGAGCTCTCCAGCCGTGAATCCACATCATTCCAACCATGGATCCACACCTCTCCATTTATGGATCCACACCTCTCCAGTTATGGATCCACTCCTCTCCATTTATGGATCCACATCTCCAACCATGGATCCACTCCTCTTCAGCCATGGATCCACATCTGCCTCCATGTGTCCACATCTCCAACCATGGATCCACTTCTTTCCAACCATGGATCCACATTTCTGACCATGGACACATACCTCTCCAGTTATGAATCCAGATCTTTCCAGCCATGGATCCAGATCTTTCCAGCCATGGATCCACATCTCTCCAACCATGGATCCACATTTCCAAACATGGACCCACACCTTTCCAACCATGGATCCACTTCTTTCCAGCCATGGATCAACATCTCCAGCCATGGATCCACACCATTCCAGTCATGGATCTACACCATTCCAACCTCCAATTATGGATCCGCATTTCCAGCCATGAATCCACACCTCTCAGTTACGATTTCTCATCTCTCCAGCTGTGTCCAGCTATGGATCCACACCTCTCCAATTACGGATCCACATCTCTCCAACCATGTTCCACACCTTTCCAACCATGGATCCACTTTTTTCCAACCATGGATCTACACCTCTCCAGCCATGGATCAAAAGCTCTCCAGGTATGGATCCACACCTCTTCAGCCACGTCCAACCGTGGTTCCACATCTCCAACCATGGATCCAAAGCTCTCCAGCCATGGATCCACATCTCCACCCATGGATCCACCTCTTTCCAACCATGGATCTACATTTCTGACCATGGACCCACACCTCTCCAGTTATGAATCCAGATCATTCCAACCATGGATCCACATCTCCAAACATGGACCCACACCCTTCCAACCTTGGATCCACTTTTTGCCAACCATGGATCCACATTTCCAGCCATGGATCAACATCTCCCACCATGGATCCACACCTTTCCATTTATGGATCCACATCTCTCCATTTATGGATCAACATCTCCAACCATGGATCCACACCATTCCAGTCATGGATCTACACAATTCCAACCTCCAATTATGGATCCACTTTTTTCCAGCCATGGATCCACATCTCTCCAACCATGGTTCCACACCTTTCCAGCCATGGATCCACATTTCCATCCATGGATCCACACCTTTCCAGTTATGGATTCACACATTTCTGACTACGGATCCACACCTTTCTGACCATGGATCCACTTTTTTCCAACCATGGATCCACACCTCTCCAGCCATGGATCAAAAGCTCTCCAGCCACGAACCCAGATATTTCCAGCCGTGGATCCACATGTCCAACCATGGTTCCACGCCTCTCCAGCCATGGATCCACATCTCCAGCCATGGATCCACACTTCTCCAGCCATGGATCCACATCTCCAGTCATGGATCCAGCTTTTTGGAAGACTGGCCTCTGCTGAGCTCACAACCTTTTTCTTTGAATCTCCGGGATG